TTTCCCCTTTCTACTGTGTTTCCATCAATATTCCCAATGCAAAAACTAAGAAGTGGAAAGGAGAGTTTTTTTTGCTGAAGAGATTTAAAAATACATGAGGTTAATTTTGCATTCTCTATGGAGGTTTGCAAATTGACATGAGTTAAGAGTTCTATGTCTTGGTTTTTAAGAGGGACTCAGCACTAATTATGGATGATCCTTATAAGTTTAATTGAGCAATTAATCTATCATTACTTCTCATTATCCCTGCCAGTGACAAGGATAATCAGAAATGTGTACTTTTTTTGCTAATAATCAACAGTGTCTTCATGAAGCAGCATCTTATTATGATACTCATCTTAGAGATCAGGAAGCTAGAAAAGAAAGTTATACAAAGTATAAGATCACAGATTTTAGAAGGATATTTTGAATTTTTGATTATGTGTTCAATTTATGAAGTTACTAATACGGCTGTAAGTTTCTGGGTTGAGGTAAATGTGGGCGAAGGAGGATCATTAACAGAAACTAGAAGGTTGGGAGGGAGATGGATCTGTGTGTGATGAAGAAAGGAAAGCAGGATTCTAGTTTGGGATTCTGTTGAGTAATACGAGTCAGCAGGACATCTAAGTGACGAGGTCTGATAGAAAACAGCTCTGTGACTGGAGTTGGCTTAAACATCGGGACTCAAGAATGTCTGAGTCATTGGAAGAATGAGACTGTTGCCCTAATACATTTGCTATCACAAATGAAATGGTAATTAGTATAAATATCTTTTTTTAAATAAGTTTCAAGCATATAAGAAAGAATAATTCAAATAATTTTATTATTATCAGTGCATACTAAATAATTATACTTCACAGAAATGATTCAGTGGGATGATGGCAGGAGGAATGTCTTCTGATTTTCTCTGAATGATCCAAGCAGATTTTGGGAAATCCAGATAATCTGAGGTGCAACTAAGAAGTCACTGCTTAACTGCCCCTTTCACACCAAATAGCAAAAAGTTGTTTGCACTTTAATCATACTAAAGCTAGGGTTGGGGTTTTCTTTTTCAGTAATATCATTATTAAAGATTATGGTGTATGCATTTTTAAAACTATTCATGTCACATAGATTCACTTTTTTTCCGTTAATACATTCACTAGGTTCAAACTCAGAAGAATATACAATAAAAAGATCTTTTCCTCCCCTTACCAAGGGTCCCAGCCTTTGATTTTTCCTCTCAGAAGGAACCATTACCAGTTTAAGAAAAAAAGGAAACTTTTTTTTTGAGGTTTGCTACATTACAAGGGAGAAAAACTTGGTATTTGACTTTTATATCATGGTTCCTCCAGAAAGGCCATGGCTATTAAGTCATAAAATAATGTTACAACATTATGAAGTAATACACTTGCCCTTCTGGTTTGTAGTTAACTAACCCATGAAGGAAGTCCTATAATGAAACTTTGTTTTGCTCCATCCCACATTTGTTATTAAGGTTATACAACTTTTAAAAAAAGTACCTGAGTACTGTGAGCATTCCCCAAATATGTGCAAATGATTAAACCTATACTCGTGTATGGAAACAAGAGTCACTGCTCCAGAAGGGGCATTAGTATTTTATTAATATTATAATATTCTATTTATTAGTGAATACTCCAATTCTTACCCCAAATTTTTTTAAAGGAAATTCATAATTCTCTGTGTAAAATGTCAAAAAGAATCACATTCCGGGAAAAAGTGGAATAATTTTACTGTACCTTGTTTTTTTGTATTATGTCTCATTTTTAATTTAAGATTTTCAAGTTGATGGTGACCTACTTAAAGCAATAGGAATATTTTGAAAATTATAAATGCCATGAAAAAAATGCAAGCTTATTTGCTTAGTGAATTAATGTCTAGTAACAGACAAATACATCTTTCCACGAGGCTATTTCCAAATTTACAGTATTCATTTCTTCTAGTGTCTCAATAGTTGGCTGAACCAATGTTGTGCAACTGTGTAGGGGAGAGAAAACCTGATCTTCAGTTAGAGAATACTGCAGTTAGAAGGGTGTAGTGAAGATTCAAAAACATTCTATGCTAAATTACACAAACCAAATACTGGACAGAAAGGATTCCAAACCTTGTACACTTTAAGCATTCATGACTTGGATACAAAATGACACATATAACAGAAGACAGCTTAATGTATGTTAAATGGACATGAAATGTTAATTAGCAGCGTAAAGACTGACTCAAAACCTGGGGACATAAGCAGGAATTGAATTTAGAATCATGAAATTTTTAAAGGACTTTAAGCACTACATAAATGATTCTCTTAGTAGAGAAAACTGAGACCTAGAGAAGAGACACTCAAAACTATATAGTATGCTGCAGAATCTAGAATTCAAATCCAGGTATTCTGACAATTACATTAATGCATTCTGCATTCTAATAGTCTGTATGTCAGGAGGTGTAACTTTTGTAATTTTCAGAATATTTTATGGTCTTCTTCTACTAATGAATAATTTCCAGGAAGTCTTGTCTAAATCTCTAGGTAAGCCAAGTGCTCCTTTTCTGGGCTCCCAAACAATTTTGTACCCACCCCAACTTTAACTCTTGAGCACAACCTATTGACATTTGAAGTGCCTGTCTTCCCCTACTAGACTGTAAACTCTCTGAAAGGACTGACTCTTAATCCTCACTGTATCCTAGCAACTAGTACAATGCTTGGCAAACACTAAATAGGTAATCAAAAATACCAGTTGAATTGGTCTTTCCTTAAAAAATCTTCAAAGGCTTACCATGATCTGACCTTTGCCAATTTCTGTAGCCTCACATGCCCAAGTCAAATTGCTCTTAGTTTTATTTCTGTGCAAATATCAGTTTCTCCTTTCATAGTTTTGTTCAACAAATGTCTGAACAATGTCCCCCCTTTTATTTTCCCTCCATCCCCAACATACACACACACATATATCCCCTCATTAACTCTCTGGAATCATTTTCTCCTTAAATATTTCCCAACTTATGACCTCTCCCAAGCTAAATTGCATTAATGCTCATCTGAGCTCCAGTAGTTCCCTATGACTGCATCTCTGCCCTGCACACATCATAAGGTACTTACGCACACACTCCACCCAAGTTGTTTTATTCACGTTTGTATCCTCCAAGATCACCCAGATGATTTTAAAATGTGATTTGCATAAAAAGAAGGCGCATCAGGGAAGGAATCTTGACACAAGATGTATTTTAGGAAAGGCATAGATGTGCAAATGCAAATAATTGGATATCTAGTATATTTCTCTAAGAGAGACAGAAGTAAATGAATAGAAAAAGGCTTTCACTTTTGAGCCTACAATTCAAACCACAAAACAAACTATAAAGGCCCTTACAAAAAAAGGAGAGTAAAATAGTATTTGGCTATGTAAAAAGAGATTAGGAACTAGGAAAGAAGCCATTTGTGCAAATGCTAATAGATTGGTTATCATAGGAAAATGGGGCACTTACAACATGTTAAAAATAGATATTAAGAAAACCAGAGGTTATATTCAGAAGCTCCCTTTCAAATGGCCTAGGCTATAAGGCATCACTATTACAGATGATTCCTGACTTACCATGGTATGATTTAGGACTACTCAATTTTGATGATGCAAAAGTGACACATAACCAGTAAAAACAGTACTTGGAATTTTGATTTTTTCTTCGGCGAGCAATCGTTGGTACAGTATTCTCCTGATGCTGGGCAGCAGCAGTTACAAAGCTCCCTCAACTCAGTGCACAAAGCTTTTTCCTTTCAAATTCATTTTTATTATGGTAAAAAACATAAAACGTACCATTTTTAACAAGCACAGTTCAGTGCCATCAAGTACACCTATTGTTGGACAATCATCACCTCTGGCCATCCTCCTAATTCGCGTTTAACACACATGCCACCACCACAGATTCCTTCTTACTAACTTTGCTTTAGTAGCAGACTGGGCTTCATGCCCCACGGAAAGTTCTGCCGGGTTAGATTCAGAAGCTGGGATGAGAGAAGTAAATCACTGAAAGATTACCCCTCACGGGCTATCTAAATCATAGGCTTCCGTTAATGGAATTTAAGTGCTAAAGACTGCACTTCATCGCCCCCCCCTCCCGCTCTCTTGCGCATCGGTAACCGAGCAGTAACCAGAGCAGCACCCGCATGGCTCTAAAAATGCCACGACCGAGTCCCCAGAGGCAGCGGTGCTGCGCCGGCGTGGAGCTCCCGCAGCTTCCTTTCCCTCTGCGCAAAGCAGCGCAGGAATGGGCCCCTCATGCAGGGTGCGAGCAGCGGTGAGGAAGAGAGAACAAACTGCCGAAGACAGTAACGCCCCCGCACTCCCACCTTCCGCCCACCACACTTCCCCACCGCGCTAGTCGAAGCAGTCGCCCGGCCCGCAGCCCGGCCCTCCCACTGGGGCTCGCGCTTCCTATTGACGTAAGTCTCCCGTTCTCGCGGGAACTGGGATCGGGAGCCGCAGAGAGCCGACAAATCTGGAAATCTCAGCTGGCGCCGGAGTCGGAGAGGCGGTTGAGAGGCTTGCGGGAGAGGAGGGGCGGGGCGTGGGGCCCGGAGAGGGCGGGCCCCAGCCTTGGGGGCGGGGCATGCGGGGGAGGGGACAGCGGCCGGGGGCGGGGCCTTGCAGCTGGGACCTGTTGATCGCAGGTAGCGCCGGCCGGCCCGGGCTCCCTCGGGACTGGGGTGACTGCGCATGCTCACCGGCCGCGCTGGGCCCGTCGCCGAGCGGCGGTGACGAACTGGCCCCTCCGCTGCGGTGGTTGCGGTGGCTGCAATGGCGAAGTGAGGGGGCCCGAGGCGGGATGGTGCTGCCCTGGGTAGGGCCGTCTTCTTCCAGCGGGACTGCGCGCTCTTCCGTCCGACCGGCGGGGGAGGAGGCCGAGCCCGGCGAGAGGTAACCCGCCGCGGCCCCGGCCGCTTCCCGGCTCCGGCCGCCCTGCTTTCCCACGGGCCCGGCAGGAAGCGGCCTCCTCTTCGGCGGTGGCCGCCCCGGCTCGGAGCCCGGCGCCCGGCCCGTTGAAGGTCGGCGGGGACGGCCGTGCCGAGCGCCTCGGGGTGGCGAGGGGCCGCCCCGGCGCCTGCGGCCGTGGCCTGGCCGGTTCAGCGCGAACCTCCCCTCCGGCGCCCGCACTTCGCCCCCCTCGGCCCCCTGCCCGTCCCCGCCGTGCCTGCGACGCCCCCTCACCTTCCCACGTGCCGGGCCGCCCCGGCCGCCCCTCGGTCTGAGGCCGGGTGTCCTTGGCCCCCTCGATTCTTCCCTCTGCGAGCGCCCTGGTCTGGTCTTCCGACGCTTTCCCGTCGCCGACCGGGCTTCTCAAGCTGGTGCCTCTCCAGTATCTTCCTTGGCTCCCTTGCCTTCTCGTTTTGGGTACCAGATGTTCGTTCTCTTTTGTTAGTTTCTCTGTGTGTTTTGCTTTGGCTGGAGTTTGTTCGGTTCCCCACCAACCTCCGGAGGCCCTCCCTCCCCTAGTCCTCGACGCGCGCTCGGTACTTGTGCCGTCCGTCGCTTTCGGTCTCCTGGCTCCCGTGCTGCTCTCCTTTTCCATCCTGATGCCATCTGTAGTATCTAATTTTTTTCCCTCTTCTCTAAAACATTTTTTTTTCCTATTTGTGCAAATCAAGCCTCTTAACTTCATTACGTTTGTTGTACTTTTTATGAATCACTGAAGAGTTCCACTCTATTATGCTTTCTACGTAAGCTAGTATCCGCTCGATAGTCTTAGTTCAGCTCCCAGTTTAATACAGTCTCTCTCCATCTTCTTTCCTCTCTGAATGAAAATATCAGAAGAGTGACAGTAGCATTGAACCTGTTACACTTGATGCAGCTTTAAGTTTTAAGAATTATGTTTATCTGACATGTCAGGATAAGCAACTTGAATACAGACTTGATGAAAGGCTGAAGAGTTAAGAGTTGTTAGAGGCTGATCTACAAACGTAAGGTTAAAATTTGGAAATTTTATTGTCCTCCAGTAATTATAGTTGTTCAAGAACTAGCCGTAAATGAAATTTAACAAATTTTGCTTTATAAAATTATTGATTTGATGTTTTATACATTTACTACTGCAGTTGATTCCATCATTTTCGTAAGGGTCGCTGTTCTCTTTAATAATGCATACAATTTCTACTACTTTAAGAGTAGAATTAATAAGCTTACTGAATGAGAAATAGGTGAGAGCAGAAGTATTAAATTTTTGCAGCAAGAGAACTTCTTAAAACAGTTTTGGGGTTTTTGCCCCCATTTCATTGTGTTCAAGATTTGGCTTCCATAAAACTTCTGTCTATAAATAATGGTATGGTTTCCTACTTTGAAGGCATCCACTTAAGCAGTTACTTTCAGTGAAGTTTGCCTTTATTCTAGGGTTGAAGATCGTCTGGATTATGTGTTTCATTCTGGAATCTCAAAGCAGTCTACAAACAGTAAATTCTTCCTTACCTCGTCAGGTAGGAATTAAATTTTGCTGTTTCTGTTGTGCAGAAGGGAAACACTGAGACAACAAAGTATAGTTTCTTACTCAAAGTATGATTAGAGGTAAAAGTAGAGGAGATGCATTTTAGGATCTAGTGTCATTAAACTGTAACTTTTGAAAAACCAGCAGTTTTTGTGTATGGTAGGACCTGGTGAACTCCTCAATCTTTAAGATTTTTTTAAAAATGATTTTTCCAGTTCAAATAGAGGTAACTCCTTCTGAAGGAAGCTTTCCCACCTTTCAAGGTTAACTCTTTATTTTAGGTAACTATTCATTAAACAGTAAATCTACAAATTCTTGTTGGTATTTTTAGTGAGTTGATTCTGTGCTCCTAAAAATTAAAATGAGAATTCATGGTGGACAGGAGGCACAGGACTGGAAGTTAGAAGATCTAAACTCTTATGATGGCTCATGCCATACTTTGTAGAAGCCACTTAAGCTCTTTTCCCTTGGTGTCTCTACCTGTAATGAATGGGTAAAAAAGATGGCCACCCAGTAATCTTTCAATAGGATGTAAGCCTTAATAATTTAAATATGCTTAGGGCCACCACAGGCAAAAATTGCTATATAAATATAAAATTGGTATTTCTCTTATTAGACTATGTAGTAAGACTATAATTGACTGCTTAAATCCCATATTAAACTGGAATTTAAATTTAAATTTTTATTTAATTTCAGACTTCTGTTAAAATAGAATGCTGGTGAACTGTGCACCAGCTTAGATTAGTTAGTATTCATGTACAGTGAAGCAAATGCCGTGGGATTCACTACATAAAATAGATGATGCCCTTTGTTTGCCAGGATTTGACATTGGTTACCTCCGTACTTTTCTATTGTTTTCTGTTACAGCTTTGTTTACTGTAGATAGAGACAACTGAGAATTGAGAATTGTGGGGTGGTTTAGGGATTAGAAAGGCCAAGGATTTCCCTAGCCGTCGAGGTATACAGATTGGAAGTGAGTTTTGTTTTGTTTTTCTTGAGTTTGTCAGGAAGAAAGGTTAAAGTAAGAATAAGAAGCAGAATGATGCTCTAGGAAAAAAGCATTTTTAATGGATTTAGTGGTGATTCAGAAAAGCTATACAGCACAAGTTTTGGGGCAGGTCTAGATTTTTCAGGAGGAGTACAATTAAGTCCACAGTGGGTTCCACCATTTTATTCTGAGAGATGGACATGTTTTAACAAGTACTTACTTAGTTATCGATGATGTGCTAAATGTAATGATTAGTTGTTTTTCATAACAAGATTTTAAAGGTGTCAAGCATATGCCATTTATTAAGAAAGCTCTCCTACTTGAATAAGCCCTTCTAATTTTGGTGAAACAATCTTTATGGACTATCAACCAAGAAAGGATTCTGAGAAAATTTGATTTCCTTTTATGGGGTTAGGTCTCTTCAGACCACCCGTACATAATATAGAAGGTATTTCTAAATTATGTTGCCTATGTGGAAGTCTATTATTGAGTATTATGGAACTTTTCTGTTAAGTTTTATGAAATGTCCTTCTGCTGCAGTTGTTAATATAATCTGAACTAGACGTATTCCTTCATTGAAGTCCCCTTGGAGTTGCCTTGGGTGCAGCTGCTTCATTCATGATGTTTCTCAGAGCAGTGGTATCTCTGATTTCTCTTTGATGCCTTCAAGTTGCCTGTAAGTCATGGGCTTCAGGTGGAAGTACTAACAGTAAGTGTCTATGCACTAAGGCCAGGACTTACTGACAATCACAGTTTCAGACCTTGCAAGCCTATATTTATCCTGCCATCACTTTGTCTTTTGGAATTGAGAACCCCTTATTCTTACTCAGGTTTGCAGAAAATTAGTTATTTTCCTCAGGCAGATAGGGTTAGAATGTAGGCTGTCTCCAGTCCTATAAAATTAGTAACTTTTATGTCATGATAAAATAATTGTATAACCTACTGTGTGCCAAGGGCCCCATTTTGATAGAAGAGTTCTGAAATAGTCCTCCAGGTAGGGGGAGCCAAAGAAATTTCTGTAAGGAAGGAAATCAGTAAAAAAGTTACTTGAATAGAGAATCAAAATATTTGCTGTCTTGTTTTTTTTTTCCTGGTTCTTCCATCACCTAAGAAAATCTTAATTGTAAACCATCTCTTCTTTCTTTAAGGTCCAGTGGCCTGTAAATGAAATACTTTCAAACCATGATAATCATAGCCTATTTAGTTGAGTTGTACTATTTTAAATGCAATAGACATTTCTTTGAATGAAATCATATTTAAAACTCGAGATAAAAAAAATCATGTCAGGACCATGCATCAAGTGCCCTGTGTTGTTTTGCATATATCTGTATATATATTGTCTTTTTAAGCCTTTTGAACTAGGTATTAGTGATATTTTCATTGAGAAAATTGAGATTTAGTGAGTCTGAATAGAATCCGGGTTTGTCTGACATAAAAGTTCCTAATAGACTAAAGAAATCAAGAAAGCATAGGCTGTTAATAAAACATTGTTTCTTAGAATATTTTTTGGAAAGAGACTTTTAATTCTTTTCTGGTCCTGAGCTTTAGTTTCTGTTGAGATAACCACTAAGATGAATTATTTTGAAGAATGTTGGGCAGACCCTGAGCTAGGTAGTGTATCATGACTGTGGTTCTTTCCAGTTTTCTCTTCACATTACAAGAAGTAACTAGTTCTTGGTAATTTGGGCTGCTCTGAGTTTTTGAAGTATATAGTAACATGACATATTCAAAGGCTTTCTGTATTATGCTGCTGGCAGGTTTGTATTATGGCATAGATATGTCCCTGAAAAGTATATATGAACTGATTTTAATAAATTAAATCCTGTCTTCCATTGTCCACATAATGTCAGAGGGTAGCTTTCATTACATATAATGAGCAACAGAAGTAGTTTCTCTGACTCTTTGTTTCATTCTCACATAGTAAGTATCCATGGAAGTGTTCTTAGAGTTACTAATGTTTTTTTCCATGTTATGTTTAAAACATGTTTTCTATGGATTTTCTGTCATATTGACATTTATCCAAAATTCACAATATTCTATTCTGAGAGTGCTGCTTAATCTTGAGTCATTTCTAAGATTTATAATAATACATTTCTTGTTTATTAGATGACAGCTATTTAAACCCATGTTTTAGAGAAATTAGAACAAAACTACACCTTTAAAACTTCACAGATTTTTGTCTGTGGGTGTGGCATGTGAGAAATTCGATGATTTCATAATTAAGAAATGTTAATTACATGGAAAATAGTTTATAGTTAATTTATCAAGTGTAATTTTAAAAATGTTGCATTCTGATTTCAGTTTTTCTTTTAGTAGAGGTATATTTATTTCATGACTTAATGATCATTGAATCTATTTCCTGTAATAGTTCAGGTGTCGACTTTACAGTTATGCAAGTTAAAAATAGGTTTATGGAGTTTGATACATATGAAGTTTTTCTCCTTTTTCCATTATTTCCTAACTGTGTGTCTTTGGCTAAGTTATATAAACTTTTTCCTCCTTAGTTTCCTTGCCTGTAAAATAGACTAAATAAGAGCTCTTTCAGATTTTTATGAGAATTAAATAAAATAATGTAGTTGAAGCTACTGGTAGAAGAATAGGTGCTTCAAAAAGTTCTGGTGTCTATATTTGGTTTTTACTTGATACTGCTATTTGGCCTATATTTAATATCAACAGGGAAACAAAGCTTTTTAAAATACAGTTTGTCAAGCTATTATCATCATCTTTCCTTCGGAAGATCTCCCTCGTCCCCAAAGAGAAGTCAGTGCCCTCGTCTCTTCTTAGGTATTTCTGTAGCTTATGCAGGGTGGCCTGCGGCTGGCCCTCGGGAGTTGGCCGTGATGCGTGGGGAGTGGCAGGCAGCACAGGTTTCTGCTCCGGTGGTTTTCCTCGGGGAACTTGTCTCCGCTGCTGTAGTGATTCTGATAAGCTCATCTTCCCTGTAAGTCACTTTCTAAAGTGAGAGATATTAATGATCAAAGTGTGTGACGCATATGAGTAATTGTGAAGGGAAAAAGAAGGTTAAAAGCCATCTGAGTGGTGGTGAATCTTCAGAGTCCGGCAAGTGAAGGTGGTTTGGCCATTTGAGAGCAGGATATAACCCCGTGATTTTAGCATGTTGAGCCCCGAAAGAGGGAGTTTACAAAGCTTGGTAGATGTTAAAGCCTCAGCCAGTCAAAATGGGATCTGAATGTAAATCAAGAAATACGAACATGCCCTAGATGAATGGGACTTAGGATAGATGGCAGCTGAGTACACCTTCTCCCAAGAGACCCACTTTCCTATTCTCCTCCGTTTGCTGCAGTACTTGGCTGTTACAAGAATATTTTATTATTCACAAAGTTATGAGAACGGCATTCTGAAGATTTCTAGGGGTGCCCCCAGTTTGAGCTTCCTTCTTATTCATTGGGTGAAGGCCGCAAAAAATGGACCCAAAATTGAATAGCTAGTATTAAATGGTGTGAGTTAACCTCCTGTGTTTCGATCATATTTTAACATACTTGGATTTAACTGTAAATGTTGCTTTTCCCTCTGCCTGCCCCAGATCAGTCAGTTTCCACATACCTGTCATAGTGGGAGCCCTCATCTAGTTGGGCTTGAATTTGATGTTCCTTCATTTGGTATCAGTTCTTATATATCTATCATAATGTAGCTTCTCACTACATGAAATATGAACATTTAAAGATGTGTATATTTTTTATGTAGTATGGTCTCTAAATGCAAGTTTACTATACAATCCAGTGTTCAGCCGAAGAAATTGTAAATTTTTCCTAAACCTGAAGAGTGAATGTGTTTTACTCATCAGGAAATGATCTATTGATTGCCAACATGGAGCCTTTCTAAGTGATTTTTAAGGGTCAATTGGCCCACAGGTGATTTTTGTCTTGCTTTGAAAGTGTCGTTAGTACTTAACTTGTGCTTACAATTGGGCATCGTTATTCAGACTGTCAGTATTATGGGCTCTGAGCCCACTTGTCCCATGGCTGCTAACTTGGAAAAGGAAT